TATTGAGTACATTTTAATGGAAAACGAGACACTAAAGTTTTTTTTTCAACTTAGGTCATTTCAGCTCCCTGATTGATACTTGTATACTCTGTGACCTGCAATGAATACATGTTTTATTCCTTTCCACTTTGACATACTTTGTCAACATATGCTAAGACCACTTTAACAAACATTTTTGAGTGTTCAAAATAATTTGCAGAGACTGGAACAATGTTTTACTATTCTGTGTAGATAAAGATATACACATCCAAGTAAATAAATGGGTGAAAAGTCTGCCTTTTACAGCAAAGTGTGTTAGCAAAATTTTGTTGAGCTTAAAGCAACGTTCTTGAATCTTTCAACAAAATCTTGTGTATTAATTCAACAGCATTAAAAAAAAACATGGAAAAGGAAAGGTTTAACTGTTTTAAACCAGTCGGCAATGGGTCCTGATTTAAATCCCATTGAAAACCTTTGCAGAGAAATTAAATCTTGTATTAAAAAAAGGAATTCTGCACTGAAAAACACTTGGCAACATAAAGTCACAACTAGCAAACTGGTGTAAAAAGAAGCTTCTAAACGTCTACAAAACCAGATGTTTGTGGTACCAAAGATTAAAAAAAGCAAATGTTCAAGTGTTCATTGTCGTGAGGTTATTTTCCATGCAAACATGTTCTTGAATCTGAATGAAAGTTCTTCAGATAAACTCACTGACAAGTCAAGTCTTCAGACCATCCCAGTATTTTATTTTCTCCTCCATAAGGGTAAAACACTTGCCTTCCTTGTTAGCTTGATACAGTAGTACCCACAATTTGCCATCTTCTCTGTAACCACCTTACACATTCACTCTGCCTCCTCAGTGTCGGGCGACAACTCTTAATCTTTAGCTCCTCCCACTAGACATCAAGGCCAGTACACTTGGTTTAACCACAATTTAAACAAATACAATTTTATTCTTTATTCAAGTTCATTCTCACTCCAAAAATCCTAATTAATCCAACAATATTAATGCACAAAATCATTTAAAGTCATGATCATGGAAACATCTTTTCAGTGAAAGTCAATCATCCCACCACTTTTGCCATGCAGTGAGGGAAGCTGACATCATACCACCCAGTGCAACAGCACCAGGTACAAGTGGTTTTTAATGTGCGTTTTCCTGAACTGAAGCCCCAAGTGCACACTCTTGGTTGCTCTAAGCTGGTGAGGGAAAAATGGACATTATAATGAACTTTACTGACAAGATCTAAACTAAGGGAAGAGGACTGGAGTGTGACATGGATCTGTGCATGTGGTTGTGTTTAAACATGTGCGACTAAAGTGTGAAAGAGTGACAGGAGTGCTTCGTCACATTAATCTTTTTACATTCTGCCTTTTCTGTTGCTCAAAAAATTTGAACTGTTAAAATATTCAGGTTGTATAGAACTCGTTTTGTGTATATTTACAAGGATGCTCTAAATACTGTTCAGATCAAGAAGACAAAAACATTTATATTGTATATTCTTTATGACAGCTATATAAATAAATGTGACCAATTGATGTATAGAGTCATATTTAGGTTTTATTTCCACAAACACTATTTTTAAAGTGGTTTTATTTTTTTTTACAAGGTTATTGCATTGGTGCTTAAATCTCGAGCACTCATTTGCTCTTGATTAACATTTATACTTTAAAACACATCATAATGAATATTTAAATGTATTTATTTACTTGAACTGCTCCTTCTCTGCCTGAACAGTCATTTTGAAACACTTTTTTCTTGTTCACAACTTTGGATTGAATGTCATTTAGGCTCCAGGTATCTGTAGTTTTATTTCAGTCAATAACTTAGATTCAGTCAATTTAATTATGAGAAGGTTTTAAGAGTAAGGAAAAAAGAAACTAAAAGAAATGTAAAATGCCATCATAGTGTTCAAAGACGCTTTAACCTAAATAAACATTAAATTCACTTTTTAGATTGTTATAACTAAACTGGAATTACTGTATAGAAGACTGATTTTATTAGAACTTTATATTGTTGGACTTCTATGTTGGTAGAAATGTTTGGTTTCTCATGTCAGTCTCATTTTTCCCATTGTGGTAATGGCATACTAATGGTTCGGTGCATTTGTGTGTCAAATGTGATTCATGCAGTGCTGTGCATGGTCCAAGCTTGAACTGATACGACTCATCGTGTGTGCATGTGTTGGGGTTGCATATGTACATTTGCTTTGTTCCACTATGTCACAACACTGGCACAGACTCGACACACACAAAGATTTAAAGGACTGGGGAGGTCTTGACGATTGAGAAAAGGCAACTCCTAACTTCTAGTTAATGTCGTGTCATCATATGTTCTTAGGAGCAAGAAACTGTTTGGGTTTCGGCTCTAAGAAAAGCTTTAGTTAGCCTCTTATAAAGACGAAATCTTTAATTTACAGGATTATGGTTGCACAGTTGTTTATGCCAACCTTTTTTGCAAGTGCAATGTTCCCAGAAGCTCTTTCTCACAAACTTACTCAAACCACCCACACTCATGTCTATTTACAGGAACTGAATTGGTGACATTGGGGTGGTCAGAGGTTGTAAATTTAGGAATTCCGCATTTGAACCACATTATTCAGCTATTAGTGCTTCATGGAGCGTGAACTTGTGTGCTTTTGCTCTTAAAGACTTAGTCTCCAGTTGGTGAACCTGCTTTTATTTATTTTTTTATTTTTTTGTTCAAGCAGCTCCATTTTTGTCTCTGGGCTCTACTTCTACATCAAGCCATACTAATCAGTATTTACCTTGGACCAAATTACTAATATCCGAGTAAGTGGTATGCAACAGAAGGTTTTAGTGTTCCAGACACAACAGTCTTTTTGCATCTATCAAATCTCTTTACGAGGTTATGTAAGGTCAAGCAGTGGGTATGAAGATTTGAGAGTTGAAAATGTGCACCTTGTAGCAAAATGAATTACCATCACATGCAGAAGGAGCTGATTTATGAAAAATAATCTAAGAAACTCAAGGAACCAAATAAATTGCATGTTTATTAATAGTTGACAAAAGTTATTTGTGTTGTAAAGGATAATGATTTTAGTAGTTCCCTTGTGTCTGAGGCCATTGCTGTTTAACTCCAGTTTGGTACAGAAATCAGAAATCGCACACATTCCTGCTTTCTTTGCTCTGTCTGGAATTTAATTTTATGGAAAACTCCTCTAATATAATCCCAAAGGGAAATTAAATTTCTGCATTACATTGCTAGTCAAAAGAGCTACAAGTGAAAAATTAAGACAGGTAGATGTTATCCTGAAGGAATGTCCTGTCCTTGTACAAAAAGTCTTTGGAGCAGGTTATTGCTGTAGGCAGGAATGACCTCTCTATGGGTTCTTATTGCAGCAGAGCTAATTAAGTTTCAGACTAAAGGTACTCTGTCAGTTTATTAGATACATTTTGTAGAGGGTGTGCAATATTTTCTGTTCTGTTCAACAACCTTTGCAACATTTTGTCATCGGCTCCAAAGCAACCAGAGACACTCATGTTTTTCAGGTTCTTTTCGTTAATCTTTGACACTAATGTCCCAGCAGATCAGTGCAAAAACAGTTTACTCTTCAGCGTAAGCTTATTTAATTGCAAATGCTGAGAAACCTCAACTTTTTGAGGGCGTAAATTGTTTATTCCTCTTAGTTGACTGATTTAAATTAGGATTTCCAATCCAGTAGAAGATATCTGTAGTCCTCCAGCATCCCCACTTCTTCTCCAAAAACTATTTGGTATCATTCTATTTTTTCTATATTGTTCACAAAGTTTGTCATAAATCTTTTCATCTGATAGTAGGCCAAGTGCAGAGAACTTGGCCAGCTGTCTACTTCTGATAACCCTTCAACTTGAGTATTTTACAGATGACAGAACTCTTGAGTTAACTTGGAAGTCTGAAGTCTTGGAAAAATGCAAACGAATACTTGTCACTGGTTGACAACCCATAGAGCTCACAAAGGAAGACCGGAGACATATTGACAGTTGTTTACACATTTATCTTCTTTAAAATATGATGTCTATGTCGGCTATAATATGACGGCAACTATAAAAATGAGTCGTGTGTGTGTGTGTGTGTGTGTGTGTGTGGATGGATGGATGGATGGATGGATGGATGGATGGATTATTTTTTTATTATTATTCTATAAGCTAGAGGCAAAAAAAATCTATCAAAGTCAATTTTGGAAAATATGGAAGTTATTTGCAGGTTTGTAATCATGCAAATTGATTTCAGATGTTACTTGGTATGTCTGAAGGTAAAGCATGCTCACTGGAGCAATGCCCCTACACACACACACACACACACACACACACACACACATGCATACACACTTACTACTCACATTTTCACCCTTCTGCCTCCTTGCAAGGCTCAAATGTCCTCAGACCTGCAAGTTTCAGGAATGCAAAATGAAAAAAAAAATAAAATAAAATAAATGAATGAATAAATACTATTCTGACGACCTGCTGAAAGAAAATCTTTGAAGTTAAAACTGGAAAATTGCTTGGCAAAAATAAACAAACCTAAATGCCATGTGAAAAGAATAACAATTTAGAATTCTTGCAAATAAACATGTCATGTCAATTGTTAGTGTCTATTGATCTATCTATAGATCTATCTATAGATCTATATATGAACACACACTGGTTCTTGGAAATCTTTTCCTGAAGGTTTAGCCTTGTGCTTTTGCGAGATGATCACAAAAGTTGTTCATGATTTGTTTTTCACCTAAAAACTATTTACACATGAATAGACATTTATGTTATCTGTCTCTAAATACAAACGTGGCTGACTTCTTACCTTTCGTTATCATGTTTACATACTTTTGAAAATACAATCATGAATTCTGAATCCAAGCAGTCTTGCCTAACATTAAATTGATCCCTTTTTGTTGTAGAATAATACTTGTTTGGTTTCAGTTGTTGTCTTGGACATTCAAAATAGTTTTTCTTTTCCTTCTGGGTGTGTTTGGATTTGTGTGTGTATATGTGTGTGTGTGTGTGGTTGAATGTACTTATAGGTAACACCTGGTAGCAAGGCAGCCCAAGGTGACCTGTGTCCAGGAGACACTATCCTGGCTATCAATGGTGACAGCACAGAGCACATGACACACATGGAGGCTCAGAACAGGATAAAAATGTGCTCCCAGCACCTCACACTCAGCATAACAAGGTATGAAAAAATAACTGAATACTCACTTGAACAAAAATATCACTTTTTTCATTGGAACTCTTGCATTTTCTGAAGAAGCGATGTTGCAACTGAAATCTTTCCAGGGTATTTTCTGGAGAACTGAATCAAACTAAAACTGCAGGCTATTTGAGTTTCATTGTACGCTAAACGGAGCCAAAGTTGATGCAATGGGATTATCCTGTTTAGAGCAACATAAAATTTGGAATAATTGAAAATGTTCATGTATTTAGTCATTGCTCACTGCTTTAAATCTCAGCAGAATACATGAATGTATTGTTTTGAAGCTTATTAAACAAATGAAATTTAAAAACCCAACTATATATTTTATGACTAGAATCAATTACTGCCAGTACATTTTATCCAGAAACACAGTTTCTGTTTATAGCCCGTCTGTAGGGTCTGAAACTGCTGAGTCATTGTTAAAGTTGACAGGTTTACAACTTTTTAATCTAGATTCTAGTTGCTTCTGCTATAGTTCACCATCAAAATCAATGAGGCTTGTACTCACAATGAGTCGGACCGTGACCTATGCAAATGGACTTCAGAGGCGGTACTTTATATTTTACAAGTTTGAGCTGAAAAATTATCTTACACTCTCTGGAAAATCTCAGACCAAGAGTGAAGGAATGTAGTCATGTGAAAAACTAAACACTCCTGACATATAATCAATGTCGATGTTTACTTACCAAAAACAATTGAAATGTAGAATCAGCGTGTGAACAACTCGACTACCTTGAGTTCAGTAGATTGTCGAGCCCCGTTTTACAGAATATTTGGACAAATAATTTCTCTGACCTTATGAGTTTGTCTCTCTTTGGAGAATTTTGTCAACTCTCTTACATTTTTACTTCAGTTCATTGAAGTTTGTCAATAATACTTTATGTACAAGTTCTCCAAAAGGTTCACACCATTGACTGGGGCATTGCGATATCCTGATTCTTTATTATTCATATTATTATTGCCATTTTATTGTGTGGTGTCATAAATTATTGTCCTGTTGAGTGAATCCATCTGGATAAAACTTTTGTCTGTCAGACACATGGCCTCATGTTTGACACTAAAATACTGGAGAAATGCATTGTCATCTCAATTACTTCAAAGGTTATTAGGTCTGCAGCTGCAAATTAAGGCCAAATCATCAACCCTCAATCTCTGTTTAACAGTAGATAGTCTTCTACCATGATTTATGACCAAACCTCTCCACTTTAGTTTTGTCTGTTCAGAAAATATCCTTACAGAAATCGTGTGGCTTGTTGAGATGGAAACATACAAACCCAAGCCATGCTGCTATGATCTTTTTTGCAGCGTCTTTCTTTAGGAAGCTCATCCCCAAAAAACATCACAGTAAGTGCACACAAAGCCATGTCTATTATTTTACCAATTATGTTGGCATAAACTGAGATATAGCTCTTTTTTTGCAATGCACATTCTGAATTAGGGGTAGGCTAATTGGATGTTTATTCCTATGACGATTGCACACCGTTTTCAATGCTTCCCACTAATGAAAGATCTTCCTCATTGTAATATAATTGACTCCAAAATGTTTGGAAATAATCTTGTCACTTTTCTCAGACTTATGGGCATCACCAATTGCTACACAAACATCATTGCCATTTTTTCCCCCTCTATTTTGTATTGGCACACATGGCACATCCTTAATGCTTCGAATGAGCAAAATGCCAAAACTTCTGCTTTTACAGAAGTGCAGAGGATAACATCCTGGTATGTAAAAACCTTACATGTTAAAGAGGTGTTCTTGCTTTTTCCACCATTCTGTGTCTTCAAGTTGAGAGAACATAAGCAATATGCTTCTGGAATGAAAATCATCAGTCTGAACAGTTAATGACAGAGGGGTTGAAGGTGGATAGATGGTTGTAACCAAGGAAAAACTGAAATGTCAGTTGCTTCCCACATTTCTATTAGATAGTGGCTTGGGCTGCTGGAGTACTGGAAAGTGCAGAGCAATTCTGGCATCCTCCTGAACCTCTTGCTCTTAGATGAAGAACACAGTGTGGTTTCAGCCTTAGTTACAAGTGACAGCTGCCAAATAGCACTTTGACTTTCTCCTTTTAGGGCAAAAATGAACAAATGTTTTCTCTGTTTGCCAAAATGCTCAAAGCATAAACTTGACTTGCGGAAGAAGTCATAGCACAAATTAAATGAGAAGAAACTTGCTCGCATAGAAAGTCGTAATACTGAGGTTTTCTACCCTCTGTGCTGCTTTCGTTTTATAGTTTGCACTCTACCGTACAGCAGCTTCTTCTGCCTCACCCTGCCCCTACTGGGAATTGCCAATCCATATATCAAGCATAACCACTGACCATGAAGTGTTTTTTTTTATTTATTTTTTTACATAGAGGTTGTAAATTTATTTAAGTATACATACATAAAAATAATGAAGAGAAATTTATGTTCAGAGCAATGACCAGAGGAGCTCTGCTACATTTGCTGTGGCAAACATTTAACCATACACTAGACACAAAATGGTTAAAATACAGGAATAATCTCAATGCAGTTCACATGCTTTGTTATTCCCACTTTACACAAGTTTGGTATAATCATTGCATCATAAACTGTGGAACATTTTTATACAATCTTATCTTTACTTCTCTGACCAGAAATTGTCAATTTATACTTTGCTGTTATCATAAGATGCATGTATGAACTATGAAGGATGAGAACATGAGGAAAACTTATGCAAACACTGCGAGAACATACAAACCCTACCTCAAAGGCCCCATACAAGATTAAAACTGAAACATTTTACCTATATATGTTCCTCAAGGTTATCAAAGGTATAATTATGTACTTTTCGTTATCACGGATGATTTTGTAACTTTAAATTTAAAGAGGCTCTTAGTAATTACCAGGAGTACCATTTCTGGGTACTTTGCCAGGAACCATATTTTTGTAAGAAACTTGCATCCTTCCTTGTCATTTTCTTAAATCCTCTTGAATTGGAAGCCAAACATTGAGAGATAATTTTGAGAAGTAATGTAGTGTTACAGCAAGCAGGAGCCTAAACAAGTTTCATTTTATTTAGGAGAGGTTATGAATATTTCACTGCTTGTTTTACCTTGGTTCTGAAGACTTGGAAGTATAAGGTCATTTTTACTGATTTCCAAACTGGGAATATCCCACAAAACATGTCCATGTCGTTCGCTTTATTAATTTGTTTTCCTTTTGAACTAACAAAACAGTAGCTGGCTGTATTGCAATTATATGGCCAAGGCTAGATGTTGAAATGTGACCACCACAGTTTATTAGTTGATTGACTACAGCGTGCACTAGAAGGTGAATAGATATTTCTGATATACAGGCATGCACATTTGGTTCCTATGCACAGACCTCCAAATAACGGATAAAGTGCTGCAAATATAGAAAAATAACAGTGCGCACAACAGAAAATGACATTTTAAAAGATGTGTGTAAATATTTTTTTCTTTCTCTTTATGGCTTTCATACTGTGAAATTATGTTTTATAGAATGTCTCCTTCCTTCCTCAAGGGTGTTTATCAAATAAACATAGAATTACCTATTGGGTATTTCCAGGCTCTAATGCTATTTTGCCAGAAAAGTGTGCTTCATTTTTTTGGCACAAGATGAGTATGATAAAAAAGGAAAATGGAAACAAAATTAGAGATAGGGAATGACACTATATTAGTAAGAATGGCACGCAGCCAAATGGAGAAGTGAATCAGCAAGACCAAGTGAGAAGGGGCTTCCCTGTTGAAAAACTGTTTTACAGCTCGATGGTCTGCCTTATGTGTTACTGGATAAAGAAATAAACCTGTTGAAGCTCAGTTTTTCTAGTAACCGTACAAATACGATGATTTTTTTTTTTTAACGGTCATACATCATGATACATTGAGAGGAAAACCTTGCAATTCTATTGAATGCAGTTGTTTTGAGCAATAATTGCACACTGTTGTGCATTGTCAAAAATACTGCACATCTAACCTAGTGTTAATATAACTTAGGTGTCACTGTGATGAACTGGATGATCAATTCTTAAATACTCAAAACAAAATGTTAACCATTTTTTAGGTCACAATTTACATCCAAATTTTGGCCTTCAAAATGATATAAATTTATTTTTAAAAGTTCACTGAGAAATAGTGAGTTGTGAATGGGTAGACGCAATGTTCAATGGTAACTGAAAAAGGTTTAGTCCCTGAGGTAGTATTCTTTATGACAATGACTCTGTCATGTTCATGTTTTAAAGATGAGTGTGTCTTATTCACACAAGATGTGACATTTGGAACTTGGCTTTTTGTAAACATTCGTCAGTTGTGGGCTGCAAAAATAAGTGAGGATTTTTGTAATTGCAGCCACTGATTCTGGAGTCAAATAAACTGGGAGTGGTTGTAAGAACACATGCTGACTCACTTGAAAATAATATTTCTGAGGACAGCCGCTCTCAGCCATCATTAAAAGACCATGTCATAAAATACTCCCAAGAGTCACAAGAAGTAGAAGACCTGTAATTTTGTGCGGCAGCTCGTCGACAAATATATGAGTCTACACGTCTGCTGTGAACCAAAATTACAGTACTCTGGGTGCATCTGAGCTCCAGGTCTTGTATAACAGAAGAATGTTTTTTTTTTTTTTTTTTTGTAATGGCTTCTTATTTATAGCTTTTATATTTTATTTTTATATATATATATATATATATATATATATATATATATTAGTGCCTTGCAAAAGTATTTGGCCTCCTTGAACTTTTCAACCTTTTGTCACATTTCAGACTTCAAACATAAAGAGATAAAATTTTAATTTTTTGTGAAGAATCAACAACAAGTGGAACACAATCGTGAAGTGGAATGAAATTTATTGGATGTGTCAAACTTTTAAACAAATCAAGTGAAAAGTGGGGCGTGCAATATTATTCGGCCCCTTTTACTTTCAGTGCGGCAAACTCACTCCAGAAGTTCAGTGAGGATCTATGAATGATCCAATGTTGTCCCAAATGACTG